GAAGGTAGAGAGGATGTTCGTCTCCCAGTCCCATACAGGGAGACTCCAAAAGAGAGGGTCCTGGTAACTTAAGGCTCTACCTCCCATAGTAAGAGGTAATAAAGGGTTAAGTGTATTATGCCATGTAAGCTCAAGAGGTTTGCTAACAGAATAGAGTGTTTAATAAGCCAACAATGTACGAGTGCAGTAACTGCCAAATAACAAGTTAAGAGAGTCAAATCATTATCTCTGATATCCAAACACCTTGAAGCTGCAGCTCAATAGTGTAGCCTCTTAACATTTAATAACCTTGTCAATTGTTTCTTGCTAACAGAAATGGCGTCTATTCCAAAGAGAGAAGGCAGCAGGCGATGTCTTGATAATATTTGTTCTCTTAGTCAAAAACATGCAGCTCAGTAAATCATTGATTTCAAAATCCAAGGTGGTAATTAAAATAAATGAATAAACCAATCTCAATTACAGGTTTGCACTCCTAAGCAGCTTTCATCAAAAGTTTAGTTTTAATCAGTGTTTTTTACGATGTTAAGTGTCTCATCTCGTGCCTCTCATGTCATGTCATCCTTTAAGTATACTATACTGGAAATACAGAAGAAATAGAATAGAATAGCAAGTTTCTTAATAAAGCACATTTCATAACAGGTTTGCTCAAAACGCTTTACATTAAGGCTACAAATACAAGAATACGAGAAACACAAGTTTTTTTAACAATCATGAATAAGATACAGAAATTAAATTAAAAAAAAAACACACACACGATCCACATCAGAAACATCACATAGAAATCAAACACCAATAAGTATCAAATAAAAATAAAATAAAAACCTAGAAATACATTCTTCACTTAAAACCAATGACACAAGTGATAACTGGGGCCCACATTGGGGCCCACATTTGGGTGCCCCATTTTGGGGTTCGATCTCTTGTTCCTGCAGCAGACATGTCTGATGTGTCCTTGGGCAAGACACTTGACCACAAGTTGTTCCTGTTGCTTCATTCGAGGCGTATAAATGTGTATAAATGGTATTCATTAATATACATATATTCTAGCCTTAACCGCCAGTGTGTGAATGAGTAGGTGTGACCTGCGGTGTAAAAAGCACCATAAAAGTCTATATACCATTTACATTCCCATTAACACGCGCACACAAACAGACATACACAAACAAACACGCACACACACACAAACAAACACGCACACGCACACAAACAAACACGCACACAAACAAACACACACGCAAACAAAGACACACACAGTAACTAGGCGAGGATCCAATGGAGTGTTTTGAGGACGGGAGTGATATGTTCAAATGTTCTTGTCTGTGTCAGGACTCTGACTGCTGAATTTGAAATAAGTTGAAGTTTTCTCACAGATGGTTTGGATTGCTCAGCATACAGAGCATTGCAGAAGTCTAACCTGGTTAAAATGAATGCATGGACTCATTTCTCTGCGCCTATTTGTGATATGAAGGATCAGGGTTTTGATATGTTCTTTAAATGGTAACATGCTGTTCTGTTAATTCAGGAGATATGAAATAAACCTAGAAAACAGCGACACTGTTTTTTCAAATTAAATACTTGATGAGATCCTTTAGTTGTGTTCACACTGATTATGTGATGAACTTCAGGTTCTCTGACACTGTCAACTTTTTGTTTAGCTAAAAGCCTAAATCACAATAGTCTAATATGATCCTTTGAGTGTGTGGAGGCAACAGACATTGTACATCTTTTCTCATTAGTGTTATTCAATAGTGATGGAGAAAAGGCCCACAGTGAACTCAAACGCTGGTTCCTATCAACACACTATTGCAAAATAATAATGTGTGAAAGCCTCATCTTTGTTGTGCTGGAGTGTATCCGGGGACGAGTTTACTCATTTTGTTCAATTAGCTAAGTAAGGGGCACCTAAGGGAGAATATAACAAAATGAAAATGGCTTTATCAGCATGCTGGCAAACGATCATTGCATAAAACATCTCAGCAAGGCAAACAAACATGTTGCTTTAATGAGTTCCCATAAAGCCATTTATGTATCTTTTAAAAGGGCCTTAGTCACACATGACCTGTTTCATCTGCTATTGACTAACAGTGGTAATGTGCTAAAGTGGAAATGGTCACAGTGCTGTAGTTTTTACTTTTCATTCACTCTCATCCAAGCCGTCTGCACACTGGGAGATCGGGATGCTTTCATTATGAGCAAACCTGCGGAAACATTGATTAATGACATTGAATATATTTACATTTTATTTTGTCATTTATATTTGGAATGTTTCATTTAAGAAAATAGACAACTTTCTCATATCCCAAGTACAAATGTATCTCAACTTGTTTTTAGAAATGTACCTCTTAAATCAATAGTAGTAGTTTGTTTTCCTTGTTCCCCGCCTAAAAAAAAGTAATATATTGCTGTCAAAAAGTAATACTAGTTTTAACCATACATAAAGTCCCATAACAATTGGCCTCTCAGACTCTTTCTAAACAAAATGCCTTTATTTAAACTCTCCAGTGTGTTTTGTTTGGATGTAAAGCATCCTTAGGTCCCTTGAAAGGCGCTTTATAAATGAAATCTATTATAGTGATAATAATCACAATTATTATTATATGTGTAAACCTACTTTAATATGGGAAACCTGACCCAGTTGGGAACAACTGGAACAACCTGGTTGAAGTATTATTTAACATACTTTTAATACCAGGGTATCAATGCTGTGCTCCTACATATTATATATCAGTTATTTTTAGTTTGTTGATCTGTGCCATCTATACAAAAATTAGCTTTCACCTGACATCACACACATAGAGGCTTCCTACTGCTGCATGCTATGGAGAGGTTACCGGTCTCATTTGCTGCCTACGTGTTTTAATCAGTTTTATTTTTTTATTTTTCAAACAAAATATAGTCGTTGTTGAATTGTTTGCACTAACCAACAAGCAAAGAAGTCTAGGTTTTAATTCTACAGAATCCCATCTGGGAAAAAAAAAACAAGCTGTGAATGCAAGACTTTTGTTGTTTGTGGTTTTTCTTAGCAAAGCCATCCCAAGTTCTTTACCAGAAATCAGTCCACAGGCTGTTAGAGGCAACTCAGCAACACAGGGATGTTCCACTACCATACACAAGTCCACACCCTGGACTTGTCGCCAGCCTATCACATGGCTGACATACAGAGACAAACAAACTTTCATATTCAGACTCACACCAACAGGCAATTTAGAGTCACCAACTAACCTACTACTGTAACAAGCATGTCTTTGGAGTGTGAGAGGAAGTTGGTAACTCAACAAGATAAAGTACATTATAATTGTTTCAAATAGTACCTTAGAAATATAAAGGTCAAAGTAATAATTATCAAATTAAAACAATATCTTAAATCTCTGAAATATTTATTTTCTTAAACTCTGACTGAGTGAGCACAAACTGAAGGACATAAAAACCTTGGATCATGTAAGACATGGTCTTGGCTTATAGATCTACAGAGGCTACAGTCCATGTGTCGTGTGAGACAGAGGCAATCTGTGATGTCCTGAGTGGATTTTTTTCTTTGTTATCTGTTATTGGATGATGTATCAGTGAGTGACAATTGATTGGTGTCAGAGAGTGGAGGTCAAGAAACAAACACAGTGCACCTGGTCACAGATTTGCAGCTGGTGTCAGAGACCAAAATATGATCTGAAGTTTACTCATCCCTACAGTAATCTCCTTTCAGCTTATACATTTCATAATAGTTTTAACGTTTGGTGTAATAAAAAGCACCTCTTCTCCTGAAGTCTTTTATGTAGTTGAAACGTGCAGATTTTATTCAAACACATTAATGCAATCCCTCCTTATATCAACTATCTGAATGTACACAGTTCTGTGTACCTTATTTTGGGGCTTTAAATGATACATGCTATGACCAACAAGGAACATCAAGCAAAGATCAACAAAGACAAGGTTCAAGGTTGTCTTTACTATGCCTGTAAGAGGGCAATTTGTTTTGCAGTGGGCAGTAAAAAGATACATATAGTAAATACAGCCAATAATCAGCATACAACATAAGAAGGACAATAAGAAGTAAAAGAGACCAATAGACAATAAATGCAATGGACAAAAAAACGGTTTGAAAAGTAACAGAATACTCACTTAATTGTGATGGCAGCTGGGACAAATTAACTTCTTAGTCTTGTTGTCCTACATGCTGGCAGGCTGTAGGGGTGACATGGGCCCAATCTATGATTGGCTGTTTGTGTAATTAGAGGTGGGACTTAAATACAAATCAACTTTTCTGGCTGTTTCAATAGGCTAATGGTTGTACCTTCAGTTGTAAATAAAAACGTGTGCACACTGTCCACCTTGTAATGGACTTAATTGCCAATAAATGTATTTGTGCAACTTAGACAGCGTATAAGGGCGTACTTGTAATTTTATACTTGAAATTGTGACTTTGCACAAACATATTTATTTTTGAGTCACTAGAGAATTAGTTAGATTTATATGTTTCCAAACTGTGTTTCACATTATTCGTGGGAATATGAAGGGTCAAAAAGTTAAATTCATTTTGAGCTTGTGCCCACAAACGTCATGCCACCCCGGCATTAGTCAGTGCCCCAGGTGGGCCACCCCAGTTTAAAAAAGTCTGGGTCAGAGTGACGAACCTGCAATTTTCCCACACAATTAAATAATACAATAATGCTGCGTGGCCTGTACTACGTGACTATGTAGAAAGTTCAGACCGATTCAATAAAACAAAAACATCTTCATACAAGTGTTAAAATCTCAGAATCCTACTGCATAAGCTCCATCAATGACCAGACTAGGGACTGCTTCCTGCATACTAAAACCATCATCACTTAGAGCCCAGGTGTTGCTCTCTCTGCAGCACAACAGCATTGCCAATCACCTGTTGTTGGCAGATCTCTATGGGCCAACATTGTGACTGATGACTAAAATCAAGCTGTTGAGCTTGATGATGCTATGATTTGAGAATAACTAAAATTTCTGTCACTTTGTCTGCTTTCACCCTATAGGCTGGACCCACACCTCAGACGCTTTATTTCTTACGTTCTCCAATTGCTGACACTTGTTGTAGAATCAACTCTTCGACCTGCTTGGCTCCTGTTTTTTTCCCCCCCGCCTGCCTGGCTGTGCTGAGTGATGAAGATCCCTCTGTGGTACCTGGTGGTGCTGCTGGCATGTCTCTTCTCTCCTGGACGCGGTGACTGCCAGGGGGAATGTGTAGCGTGTGGTCTGCTAATGCAGCAGCAGCAGCTGCAGCGAGCCTTCAACACCATGGTGAGTGTGTGTGTGTTTGTCCCTGCTAGAGTCACTGTAGATAAGAGCCTCCAATAATGCTTATCAACATTATAGTGTGTCAGTGTGGGTACAGCTGCCCCAAGCCCTCAACTACCTGATAATGGTGTTTGTTGTAGTGATTGTCTGAGAATTTTTTATTTTTTTTTCATCACAGAGCAGATGTTGAAAATGCATTTTGGACAGTGTGCTCTTTGTCTGTTCATATACAAGTTATATAGGACAGGCGACAATGTGATTTTTGTTGTCACAACTAGTTTTTATTTTTCAAACAAGTATCTAAAAACAGATTAGAAATAATTCCTTTGTTAAATTGGGGATTTTGTTGAGGTAAAAACAAATACACTGTTCATATTTTTATTGTCCTCTTGACTTTATACAAATCAACAAGTGAATAAAAGATTCCTGAAAGAGATTTTTTAACATAATCAGTAAAAATACATTTGTCTGTGTAACAATATGTTTTGGAGTAAAATGTCTGGATCGGGAAATCCAGACACCATTGTGTCATAGAAAAGCATAAAATGACCACAACTTAACTGCAGTTTTTGTTAGTGGCACGTAATGTGTTAAATTGCATTTCTGAGGGCGCTGGTAGCTGTAGTGATTAAAGCACACACCCCATATAGGAGGACTATAGTCGTCCAAGCAGGCAGCTCAAACACCTAGCTGTGGGAGTGTCACCCACCTGGGGGAGGGGTTACTGCCATTTGTGATGTCACAAAGGGAAAATGTCAAAAAAAGGGGAAAAGTGGAGCAGGCAAAAGACGGAGAGGATGGACCTTTCTCATGATTATGACAGACTAGAGACACACATGAGGGTTAGAAACACATGTTAAAGTGTTGCATAATATGTAACCTTTAAATAAATTCAAAGAATCATTTAGCTCACTGGATATTGTCAGTAAGCTTTCATTTGCATTTTGCATCACTTGAAAGATAAAAAAATCCACTAGTGTGGATCATTCTGTTACAATTCAGACTTATTTGTGCTTCAATTGTCCGTGTCTCTTTTTCTATTTAATTACTCACCACTTTAAAAAAAATGTTGAGTGGTTTATGAAAACAGAGGAATGAAGGTCCTCTGGTTGTAAAGTATCACAAATGCATGAAAGAGTGACAAGAGTGACAAGTGAATAATGTAATGGTTATCGTGACTTTCCCCTATTGGGTTGGAATTTAAATCTGAATTGGATTATTTGCATGAGTAATTATCTTAAGCACCTGTGTGAGGCTTCGTGACCAACGTTAAAATTCCTGCCTCTGCACTCAGAAAATGCGATAGTTCTCCAAACTCAAACCAAAAACTTCAATGCAGCACACAATCTCATTCCCAAACAGTGCAAGACACGACGGCGGGTAAAAATAGTCTGTGGAGCGTCCATGAATAGCTGTAGGACGGCTAATTTAGCTGATAATGATGCAGAGAAAGACAGCTGGGACCTTTTTGCGAGTTGTAATAGAACTCTGTAATTGACTGCTGCTCAGTATCATCAGCCCAGGCTTACATCGGTGACTGACACATTTTATCAGCCCCTCATTGTGTTAGCGGCTTTCCCATTGAGCCACAGATGGAAATCCACCGAGCAATTCTATTGTTTCCTGCTCCAGACGGCAGGAGCATGTGCAAGGTGAAGGTGTTTCTCTCTCTCTCAGGAACCATTGATTTATCAGTACACACACCTTCACACTGGGAGCGTTTCACATCAAACATTATAGAGCATCATCCATTCCACTGAGTACATGCATTGTGTGAAGCTAATCGAAAAGGGAAATGCCAGCCTTTGTTTACATTTGTGCTAATTGTCTGTGCTACAGTTATTATTATTATCAGACAAATTTACATAATCCAGAGCATCCCATGCATATTTTCTTCTGTAAAATACCATCATTTATTTAACCCCCTGTAGGGGCCATTAGACATTACCCACTTCTGTCAGGCTAAAAAAAAACAAAACAGACAGTTTCAGTTGTGCTTAAAGGTCACATATTATGCAGAATACACTTTACCATGTTTTATATCAAACACAGATTTGTGTCCCTATAGCTTGTCGCAAACCCCCAAATAATGAGAAAATTCCATCCTCTGTCTTTTGCCTGCTTAGTTGTTCAGAAATGTGTGCTCAAACAGGCTATTTGGAGATTTTCCCTTTGTGACATCACAAAGGGCAGTAACCCCTCCCCCATGTGAGTGACTCTCCCACAGCTAGGTGTTTGTTCTGCCCTCTGAGTCTGCCTTCTCACCGTAAACAATTTGGGCATGGAGTGAGAAAGCCAGGGCCAACCAAGCCCTTCCAGAGAGGGGGCGTGGTCAGACACAGCTCATGTTTGTACCAGGCTGTAAACATGTTCATTTCTGCTGTTCAAACAGCTTTTTTGTTTGTAGTGTGTATGTGACTTCTGGTGTTTCTGGAGCCAGCCTCAAGCTAACTCGAAGAACTGCAGGATTATGCACTTCTGTGTCTGAGTCTGACTTCATTTTCCAACACTGGAGGTTGCAGTTTAGCTTAAATACAGGATACAGGAGTGGATTTTTTTAACTTTTTAAAGTAAAAACATGAAAAAACTACACATTTAAGTCAAAGAATCAAAGATTACACAGTTAAGAAGTGACAACATGGGTATCTACAGCAAGAGTGAGATTGACCCCTCTTTCAAGAATAAATCCTGCCTTAGTTAAGCTTGTCAAACAAAATTTCTTAGTACTGGGTTGCTGGAACAAAATGTCAGCCAACAATGTGTATGCTCTGTATGGCATCAAGGAAGGCATCGCCATTTTCAGGGGTCACTTTTGCAAACCTCTGCTCTGCCAACAACATTATGCCAAATAATTTAGCTTCATTGTGGACATGTGATAAAGACTACACTTTGCAAACTGTCCTGCAGACTCTGTCGATTAAAGTTTTTAAAAGTACACAACTGGAAGGAGGTGGAGTGAAAATCACAAGCGAGGAAAAATAAAGTGTGTTCTCGGTTGTCCTTAAACCTTATTGAAGCTCACACCACATTTTTATCAATGGATAAATCATAATTTGTGAATAGTTTTCTTTTGATGTTATCAGTGGTAATTTAAGCAGGACGAGGCAGGGGGATGCACTGCACCTCGGGCATTCGCAAAATGAGAAATCTGGTTCTTAGTTATTTTTTTACCCCTATGTTTTCATTTAGTCTTTAAGGCATGAGCTGAAGGAAATGACCAGATGATATTTAACAGTGATTGTACACGTACATGTCTTTGTAGGATCAAGTTCATTACTTTTTGGTTACTTTTTGGGTCTTTTTGCCTTCATTAGATATGACAGCTGAAGAGAGACAGGAAATATGGGGAGGGGAGAGTGGGGGGGATGACATGCAGCCGAGGTCAGAGGCTGAATTTGAACCCACAGCCATTGCGACGAGGACTATAGCCTCTGTACAAAGGACGCGCGACAAAACCGCTAGGCTATCAGCGCTCTTTGTAGGATCACGTTAACTCAAATAATTGACTGAAAGAGGTGAACCAGGGATTACGGCCTTTTTTAATTCTAACATTATAGTAAAGTGCCAACCTAATAAGATAATAACCCTCACCCTTTGAAGCCATATGAACGAATCTGAAAACCTTTTTATCCTCCGGACCTCTAAAGCATATAAACACACACACACACACACACGCACACCATGCCTCTCACTCATAAACTCCTCTAGATTGCTCCATTGATCTGACGTGGAGAATCCCCTGGTGTGCTCATTTCATTTACGATGGATAATTAATTTCCGTTGATAGATTCACAGCGGAACTCCCTCTCCCCTCGTTCCCTTGATGTGGGCAGGTTTTCTGATAACAATGCAATTTATCTCATTTGAGCGGGATTTGACGAGTAAATGGGATTTGCTTCTTACCTCAAGCAGAAATTGAACTCAGTGGGCTCGTGAGTTTAGAAAAAGGAGGGAAAGGAACGATTTGGTGCAAATAAGTATCTCTACAGTGTACAAACACAGCCTGGAAGCTGTAGATTATTAGTTTATATATGAAGTCAATCTGAAGGCAAACTGATGCACTGAGGTTTAAAATAATGTCAGTGTGAATCATATCAGGAAGCATTAAATATGAGGAGAAATAGATTCAACATAAGAAAATATAAACGGTAAATATTATCCTTAAAGCAGTTCAAATCATTCTTTTCATTAAAACTGCATCTGAAATGTTCTTCATACATCATCGTCCTTCCCTTGTGTTTCCACCAGGAGTGTATGAAGGTTTGGTCAGGTGTGACACTACAAGAGAGGACAGGAAGGTCGTTAAAACGTCACAGAGTCCGTGATTCATCACAGAAAAAGTTCATTATATATTAAAAGTTCAATTTGAAAACACAATATATGTAATATTATTTTCTCTCAAAATCAGTCAGAAGTTAAAGAGCGAGTCTGAAAATCATTATGTCAGCAAAGGACATCGTTTACTTGCTGTCCTTCAAACTCATTTATAATTTATTTTTCCAATTTTGTGCTGTCAATCACTTTGCAGATGGAGACGTCAAATGTAATAAATGATTGACGTCCAAATTAGCACTAAACTTCATACACAATGAATGTAGCAGGAACAACGACTGACTCTCCAAGTCAGAGGCTGCTGTCTCACTCTGGGTCTGACTGTAACACGGTCAGCTCGCTAATAAGCTACAAATTTGTTATTCCATCAAGTGCTACCCTGTGTGACTGCTATTTCATTTTTTTTGCCTAAAATACGAAGCCCACTTAGATTTAAATGAGCTTTCAACCTTCTCAATCCTAACTTCTTGAGTGATGAAGGGTAAGGTGACACGCACTCAGGAAGACGTTCTGCAGTTCTAGCTTATTCATATTTCAAGCTATAGTGAAGACTAAACATGGCTTAAAGATCAGCTCTCATTGGGCTTAATGAGGACTGACACCTGACTCCACAATCATGATACGCTGTGTCTGCTGAATGTCAAACCCATCAGTCTGTAAATGAGCACACAGCAGCAGAGATACACCTCTCGCCAGTTGTGATGAAACACACAAGGGTCTGTTCAATTGCTTAAAGATTTAGATTCAATATGCAGAGTGAGCTTAGGCGGAGCGGCAGAAGCTCAGTCCGTATGGACTAATTCCGGTTGAGGTGCTAGTTCACTTCCTGAGCACTGTTGAGATGCCCTCGAGCAAGACACTGTCCATATGATCCTGTCTGTGCATGTGTGTATTCCTGCCTATGTGTGTAGCATGTGGAATAACACAGTGAATAACTGAATATGGCCTGATTTGATTTCTGGTGTTGTCATTGTTGTAATAAAAAAGGTATTGAGAGTTTAACTGTAGTGGGTATTAATGGAGCTATAATTGTTGCAAAACCATTTGCAAAGTCATAAATAATTCTACAAATGCACAGCAACTGTTTATAATGTAAGTGTTAACAATTAATTGGTAAATGGTCTTGAGCTTGTAGCGTTATTTTCTAGTCTTCTGACTACTCAAAGTGCTTTTACACTGCAGGTCACACCTACACATTCACACACTGATGGTAGAGGCTGCTGAGTGAAGTGACCACAAGTATTAACTAATCCATTCATACACATTCACATGGCGCTCATGAAGCAGTGGGACCAATTGGGGTTAAGTGTCTTGCTCAAGGATACATCGGACATGTTGCTGCGAACCCCCGACCTTCCGATTGATAGATGACCGACTCTACCACTGAGCCACAGCCGGCCATCCGTCACACCTGTGGCTTTTAGTTTCTGACTGAAATAGTCTGTTGCAATTTCCAGTTGCATTCTTTTAATCAATCAAGTTCATAAATGAACCTTTCATTAAGGTCTGGCCCTCTATCTAGTTGCTTTTAAATATTTTGGCCCAAGACCAAACCAAACTAACTTCTGCAGATGTCTGCAGTAGACCAGCAAAGCTTGTAATAAGCTTGTGAAAGAGTGAAGCATCGAGCAGAGTTCATCATCAACTTGGGGTTAGGCTATCTAACCCCCAACCCCCAAGCCCTCGGTAGAGGGACGACCGACTCTACCACTGAGACACACCCGCCAATTTGTCTTATTCCCAAACATTGTTAATTTGCTCTTCTGGTTTGACTTTAAAAGTCACTGATTTTGGCTGCAAAAGACGTGTTACATGTAGTTGCATTATTGGCGGTGTCACTGCTACCCTATTGGCACTGGAGGTACAGTGAGTTTCCCGTCATAAGATTGGAGGTCTAATTCCAGCTTGCACATTGTACGTGTCAAAGTGTCCTTTCCCTGCATGGGCGAGACACTGAACCTTAATCCCATCTGAAGACATGTCCTTTGTGTGTGAATGTGTGTCAATGAATTATATTTAGATTTGATATGGAGGTTGGCATGATGAAGGGTCGCCCTTTTTTGGATTCTGTCATGGATTTATACTTTCAGGAAAAGGAAAAAAAAAGATATAGCAACTAAGGAATCCTGAGCCTACCTGTCATTGACATTGCTACTATGGCTATAATCTTGTCTTTATATGGCTGCCTGTGAGGATTTAACTCAATTTAATTGTCAGTGCCTTTCATTGGGTTGGCATGGTGAGAAACAGGCAGGGAAAGCTCAACACGAGGTTTGAATTTGGCTCTTAGGTGTTACACCGAAGGTAAGTTGGTGCTTAAAACTATCCAGCTATGACATGGCAGGATTTTGACCAGAGATCCTTTGGTCATCCAGTTGTACCATGAAGTTAGTCACACTAATGTTTGAATGCGATACATTAACACACTGCTCTGTCTTCTCCCTCTGCAGGTGTGTTTGTTGGAGTGTGAGGGTCACGTCTCCTCTTCATTCACATGGAAGCTGTGTAAACATGCCCTAAAGCTGTCGCACCATCCGACAATATCTGAGGAAGGCGCTCTTTTCAAGAGAGCAGGAGGGGAGCTGGAGCTGACCTCTGTCGACCTGAACTCAGACAGTGAGCTGCTGCAGTCGCCAGCCGAAGAGCACTTCCAGGAGGGCGATCGGGATGAGACACCCTTTGAGCAGCGCAGTGTCCAGTATGACTCATCACTGCTGGAATCCTCTGAGGAGGGGGAGGGCCTGCGGGGTCTGGTGGATCTCAGTCTGGTGGATGAGGACAGGAAGCCAAGGGAGGAGAGGAATGTGGGGAGTGACAGCCAGCTAGAAGTGGATGAGGATGATGCCTCAGAGGCCATCACCTTATCCAAACGGTTTGGTGGATTTCAGAGGGGCCGCCATGGATACAGGAAGCTTATTGGCTCACCGATGAGGCCCCTACAGAAGCGCTATGGTGGGTTCATAGGTGTCCGGAAATCTGCCCGCAAGTGGAACAATCAGAAGCGGGTGAACCAGCTGCTCAGGCAGTACCTGGGCATGAGGAGCAGCCGCAGCGGCAGGTTCAACAACATCCCTGTAACTCGCGTTTGGAGGCAAAACAAACTGTAATGAGAGTAGTCTCGAGCTCACACAATCCTGTCCCTGTTACCTCGATCCGTCATGTTTTCAACAGCTCCACTCCACTCTCAAGTCACCGTCGCCATCAGAAGGACAGACTCTGTCATCTTATTTCACCGCTCTTTGTGTCTCTGAGTAACAAGGAATGTTTTGACCGTAATGTTCTTCTTAAGCATATTTACATGCCAGTCTGTGAAATAAAAGAATTAGAGAAGTGCAATTGAATATATTTTTGTGTGTTGGTATAATAAAAAGGGCCAAATAAGTTTGGTAAACTGGTTCACTGCATGTTTTTCCACCTGAGATGACACCTTAAAGTTTGACTTTCATGCATATATCATATATATATATCTGGCACTGACAACTTGGCTTCAGCAGGGTCTTTTTCCACACTGTGGTTTGTTCTATGAGAAATATAACTAATTCCCAGCCTCTTTAATGCACTAATGTGATTCCACTTAGGTATCCCCATTTAAAATGACAAATGTTGACTGGCCATAACTGCCTATCCTCCTAAATGTTTGAGCAGGAACGTGTAGCTAGTATTATCAAAGTGTGAAAGGACTCACTCTGGAACATTTCTGGACTTTCAAATTTAGCAAAACTCTTCATCCCTCAAGAAAAGCCTTTCCATTTTTCTGCATTTAAAATACTGTGAAAGAGAATGTCCCTTACCTTCTTATTGTGTTCTCATTTCGTCCATTAGGAGGACTTTATCAATGTAGACCCTGCAAGTGAGGAGTTCCTCTTAAGGAACGAGGAGCTGAACGATGGCCGGCTGCTCTGGGCTCTTTGCAGTGTAACAATACTGCCCTCTAGTGTTGGTGGAGGAAACTTTCTGCTCTTGGAAACTGACTTGAAATCAGTTTTGACAAATGTTTCATTGGTTTGTAATTCTCTTGGATTGTTACCTCTTTTATGCATTTCTAATGAAATTTTAAAAATACATAAAATGACAAACGTAATAATGAGGGTGGTGATCTAAAACTAATATATTTATTCTTAATAAATAATCCTGAATCCATACAAAAACACAACATTATTTTAACTTCTCTGAATCTGGTCATTGCCCTTGGAAGAAACTGCAACAACCTCCTCCCTATATGGGAATGATTTATTTTATATATTTTAAAAACAACACAATTCTTCAATTTTTTAAAGTTAGAAACAAGGGAGAGAGAGAGAGTGGGGAATGACACGGGGGGGCAAAGGAGCCACAGGTGGGATTGAACCTGGGCCGCCTGCTTGGAGGACTACAGCCTCCGCACTAACCACTAGGCTGCCATCGTCCCTTTTAGGCTACTGGAGCCCCAACAATTTAAAATTTGAACAGCTCCTTAGTTTCAAGCATTAAAATGATAATATAAGAATGACAAGACTTTTGCAACACAACCATCTCCTCACCCCATTTAAAAGCTCTTCATACAATCACTTACTCACCCCAACAAGTTTAACATAGGTCAAACCCAGGAGTCAGGACAAACTTGCCTCCCTACTCGTTCTCAAACAGGACAGATGGGTTTGTGTCACAATTTGTCTGAAGTGTTGAAGGCAGCAGGCCCTTTGGCTGTGTCTCACACTGTAAGAATGAAAAAGGTCATAAAATAAGGCCACCATCCCAATGAACCCAGTGAGGGCAAACGTTAGAACTGAAGTGTGCATGTCAGCTGTGATCATCATTATACAGAGTAAGATGTTTCTGCTTTGGTTTAAAAAAACAAACAAAAAAAAACATGTTGATTTATTTTGCTATCGAGATATTTTGCTCCATTGACAGGTAACAGCTCCTTTCCTTTGGATCTACATCGTATTGACGTGTTTACTGTTTGCTTTCTGATATAATATAAAATGTATGAACATGAATGTGGGGGTGATTGCAGAGAGCGTGACTGTGACTGTGACTGTGCATGTGTGTGTGTGTGTGTTTCCCTGTCCATCCAAAACAAAAACATGCAGTGTGAGAACAGTGTTCATTTCAGACAACATGCCTCTGTTCGGAGTCTTCATACAAAATGTGTATAGAGAAAAACGTCAATAAAATAGTTTGCTATTTCTTTTTGTGGACTGTCGTGCAGAAGAGAAAAAAAAGGAAACATAAACGTTTTAAATTCTCAGTGCTTTTTAATTTGTGTTTGACAATATATTTCCTCTTTTTTTTTTTATTGCTATTACAAACTTGTTTACTCTCTAATGCTAGTACCATTACCATGACTCCACAGCTTCATGGGTAAAACCTTTTAACACTGGTTGTATATCAACACATGGGCAGGAAGGATATAGAAAGGTGGTTGAGTCGAAACCAAATGTAGCTTATTCTTGTGAGTTTAAGTGCCAAAAAAAAAAAAAAAAAAACAAATTTTCCTCCAAATAATCTGCCCAGTACGAGGGCGGAACAAAATTAAAAAAAAAAAAAAAAAAAAAAAAAAAAAAAGAGAGAGAGAAAAAATAAAGGTATAAAATACTTGTCAAAGCACACGACATCAAGTACATCATAACAACTGTGTCACCACTGGAAGAAAGGGTTGGAATAAGAAAAACAGCCGAGCAGCAGTCTACCAAAACAGTGGAGCTAGAGGAGCGATAATATGAACTTTGGATAGTGGAGGCTTAGCACATCACATAGTCAAAGTCCAGCAACAGACTACGTTTTCAGGATCAAGTTACAAAGATACAGAAAAAACTCTGTTTGAATTTTCTTTAGGAAAAGAAACAAAACAGTTTTGGAAGAAGAAAACACGTTGTGTAGTAAGAGAACAGTTGTTTTTTCCTTGATGGCTCTCAGGCCCTGGTTTTAATATCCTCTTTGTGATAAAAGTCTTACTCATTCATTCATCCACCACTCCGACTCTCACTCTCTCATTCTCTCTCTCTCTCTCTCTCTCTCTCTCGGTCGGTCACACAGCTGCTCAGTCAGGAAAGCGCTGGCAGGCTTTTTTCCAGCGGCAGGCGGTGCACCACTGATCCTTGCGCTCCACTCCGTACACCTTACGGCACTTTTTGGCCTCTCCACGACCTTTCCTGCAGATTTAAAGGCAAAAAAAAAAAAATCACATGGATGGAAAGTCGAGGAAAGATGAAGGGGGAAGGAAAGGGCACTGCGACACGTGCTTGATGTACTAAATCTTTAAATAAGAAATAAGACTGAGGGAAAATAGACAACTAACAAATAAGGAGGTTGATTGAATCAGTTTCACCTCTTCTGGCTGAGTCGTTCATGTGAAATGAATTTACAGAGAACAAAGATGACGAGTTAATGAAACGCTGATGGAGAAAGAAGGTTGAAGGAAAGTTTTGCACTTCAGACGCTCCACAAATGGAGGTCGGTGATTTCAGAGAAGAACCTCAGTGGACTCCTTCTCTCAGACACAAATCACTTAAGAAGATACCTTTTATTAATCCTGTGAGGGGAAATTCAATGTTACACTCTGTTGTTGAACATGCTACACACACATAAGCTGAAATACTCACACATGCACAAACAGGATCCTATGGACATGCACTAATGGAGAGATGTCAGAGTGAGGGGGCTGCCCACAGAGAGCGCGCCTGAGCTGGTGGGGGGGTTCAATGGCACATTGGCAGTGCTCAGTAAGTGAACTGGCACCTCTCCAGCTACCAGACCAATTTACAGACTTGGTTCACACCGGGACTTTAACCGGCGACCCTCCGATACCCAACCCAAGACCCTACAGTCTGAGCTACTGCCACCCCCAAAAAATACAAAGGACTAAAGACAAACATACTCTAATCTCATAATCATGATCTTTGAGGAAGAAGAAGCAGTGCATTTAAACGTTAGTCCTTTGCACCTAAATCAATCTGCCTTCAGTGATTTGTGTGCTTCAGTGCTTTCTTTAGATCCTGTCTGAGAGAAGGAGTCCACTGAATTATATTTTGATCAAGAAAGAAAAGCTTTTCAGGCTAGAAAACAGAAAAAAACATTTTCACTCTATGTCCAAAAAAATGTAACGTTCATAAAGGTTCAGTTTAAGCACAGTAACACTTTACAAAGTGAAGAGCAGAAACTGTTTCACTACTCACAGATGATTTGATTACAGCTGAAGTCAAATCAATCACACAATAGAAGTGACGATCTTTAGATATCTAAATGTTTGTCAGAAATCTATTTATATGTGGAAACCATAATTATTTATGTTCTAATAGTTCTAATAATAATGAAAGATTAATGAAAGTCATACGCCACATTCAACTGGGAAACAACTTCGAGGGTCTCTATCAAAGTTTCTTTAGATAACTTTAAAAATCATCATCATTGGTGCTATGATGCAACAGAGCTACAATAGCAGCTTTTATAATAATTAACTGGTTTAAACTTCAAGACCAAATGTCTAAAAGGCTACAAACATTTCCTCAGGTTTACTTCATGTTCACTGCTAATCAGCTAATGTTAGCGTCCTAACATTGCCGATGTCTAAGCAGCTAGCCATGCTGTAGACTCTGTGCCATGTCAACAGCAGGTCAGTGATGGTAAATGTCAGATGGTGAATGGGAACAGACACAGACAGGTGATGCCTCACCTGAAGGAGCAGTGATTGCGGGAGGGCGACACACTTATAGGCTGCAGCCTGTTCTGTTGGAGCCACTGTTCCCCGACACTGACTGACCGGCAGCGAGGTTTAATCATCTGCAGAGACATCAAACCACAAAGCACAGGTTAAGACCACACACTACCATGTAGAATACATAATGAGAGTCGTTTGACACTCGTTAACATGTTTACTTTATAGGATTCTATATTTGATAATGTTGCAATGATACTGTACTCCTTAAAGAAGAAGATTTGGACCCATAGGTTCAGGATGTCTGGGTGCTGCAGATTAGAACCCCATACAAACAATTAAATCTGAATTTATAACAACGTTTGAATTTATGTTCACCAGTTTTTGTGAGATACAAAGATATATTACACCTATATGTGCAACGTCTTTTAGTCCAGTTCTGTGTAACTAGTTAATAATACAGCTAGCAGCAGACTGGAGCTTATCCATCGTTGCAAACACATTGAAGCATGATTCACAAAAAAGGATTGACAGACTTTTCTGCACATTAAATCTTTGTGAATAAGACAAAAAGATGCCGTCTCATTCAATAAACACAAGAAAGGGTTAAATGCTCCTCTAACTGCCCTGCAGGACTAACAGCATCTGTGCGCCGTTGCAGTTTTTGCATATTGCAAATGAGCCATTAAACAGTCATTTGGGGAAAAATGACCCCCATGCTCATTGCAAAAACTGTCTAATCCACAAAGTACAGCATTAACAGCCATGCACAGCTAGTGGAAACACTACTGTACGCAGAGACCAGGTGGTGATTGTGCTGCAGTATGTATTAAAGACGACATATCATCCCCCTTCTCCACCTTTTCAAACAGTCCCCTGTGGTCTAAATGAAACATCTGTGCTGTGCTTTGGTCAAAATATAACATGAATCAGGCACCAGAGGAGGTTTGTGACCCTGTATAAACCAGCTCTCTCAGAACGCTCCATTTTGGTGTGTGTGTCTCTTTAAATGCAATGACCCCCCGACTTTTCCTGGTAGACATCACTCCTCTGTAGCGAGAGAAAAAATGGCAGACCTGTGCAAAAGTTTTGTTCTAGGCTGAGGGTGGAATCCATGGGTGGAGATACCAGGGGAGGGGAGGGTATTTTTTTTATACCAGAATCCCACTGTGACGTCACAAGGAGAGCAAATTTGAAACGGAGCATTTTTGTAATGCTGCATGTGTTGTAAGACTTATGCAGACCACAAACAAAGGACTGGATGGGTTTAATTTCACATTTTGTGGGTCAGTAGACACTCAGGTTACCCAAATATATGTTCAAAAACACTGTAGAAGAGGATTTTTCATATTATATGTCCCCTTTAAGGTTTTCACATACTAACTTTTCCAGTGATCATGACATATCATATTCTCCCTCTTCTCTGGATGACCTTAATAACTGTTGATTTTAAAAAAGTCTTATGGACTGCTGAAGGTGCTGACACACATGAGAATACAACAGAAGAAGACCTACCGGAGTGTTACTGTGGCCGGAGACGGAGGCGGAAGGAGTCCAAACCTGGCAG